ATAATTAATCAGCTTTTCAACCAGGAAAACCATACGGCCATGATTTTCCGTTGCTTCACCACAGACATTAATGAAAACATCTGGATTAATTTTCTAGCAGAAAGGAGAGTTTAAAGATGGAAAATTGAGATTTATCTTACAGAGAGATGTGTGAGGGAATTTGTCTGTTTTAACCAGAACGTGCACGCTCCTTCGGAAATCAGCTTGTCCCAACAGTACACTTTTGGTGAAGGTCGACTTTTACCTTTTCTGAAGATAGATCAGTTCCGGCGTGGAGTCTCACTTCCAACCACTGTTCAGCGTCTCAGTGAGAACAGCCAAATACCTCGAGAGTCGTGCGAGGTTATCCAAACAGAAGTTATAATTCCCAAAATCGTCTCTGGTTCAGCTTGATTGGTTTAACAGCATCCTGAACGCCCGCGTTCTGCATTCAGGAACTCCCAAACTCTCTGCATTCTGAATTCCAAAACTCCTGAACTCCTCTCTCTAATCTGAAGTGCCACATTTAAATGGGCTCTACTTCCGGTTCATTTGAGAGCCTCTGATTGGTCGATGGACCCCAACAGAGGTGTGTTTTGTGATGTAAGGTGTTATGGAAAGTCAAGGATTGTTTAAGAACAGACAGAAAGATTGTTGGAGAAAACCAGACTTCGTGGCGTCGCTCCACCAAGTATCTTGCTGTAAAAGTTAAACATGACATTTCTTTTCAGTAAACTTTTAGTTGACCGAAACCTGAACTTTGACACACACTTACAAACTCTGCTCACTTCAAAGCAGACGATCAAGAAATTGAACCATTACTCTGTAACGTACTCTAACTTGATTTCTCTTTGAATTGAGAATTAAAAATCATTACTACTGTTTAAGTAAATAAAAATGAGTAGTTCACTTCAACATGTAAACATTGTTTGAACTAACACAATTTGATTATCAAAACATTTGTAAAATAGTAATGATCATAGAGAATTGTCCTTTTCCACTTGATTAATTCAAGAAAGAAAGTCTCAGGATCGATCAAACTGTATTTCTAGATTCAAATCAATGAAATGACAGTTTCTGTCCGTCAGCTTTGACATCAGGCCTAGTCCACTACAACTTCATGCTTTATAATGAAGCTGTTTTTTTAAATATAATTTCTTCTACTTACTTTTCATTTTATATGTTTTTATAAGATTATCTACTGTTGTCTGTATCTCATCTGTGTTTTGTTTAAATCAGGTCTCTCCTGAAAATGAGTCCTCGTGACTCAATGAGACTAACCTGTATGAATAACAGTTGAATGAATTTGTGTGTTTATGTTACAAAATATGTTTGGTATTTATTTAAATACATTTCTACACTGAATCCCCACTTTAAAACTAGTAACCCTATGTTCATTCAAATCCACAGACACAACTGTGATTGGTAAATCCTGTAATCGTGTATTAAGTTAAAAATAATAATAACAAAAATTAAACAAGACGTGTTAGTTTTTTTTTCTCTAAAATAGTAATTTGAATTTTGAAGCCAGTTACAAGTTTTAACAACAAGAGGCCACAAAAATGGAAAATAATTTGTGTAAGAAGAAACATCTCACAAATGAACTTTAATATTTGAAAGATGATGTAATGTTTCCACTCTGTAAAAGGCTGAATGGAAAAAAAGTATTTCAGACCAACATATCTTTATTTGCTGAATAAAAGATTAGAGTTTTAGAGAACAGAGGGTAGAAGATTAGCTAAATAAAAATGTCAAGTCCCTGTATGTTTCTGCAATAAATACAGATCTGAGTTTACACTGGAAACATCCAGAAACACTTTGCTCTGAATGACAACTGCAATACGTTCCTGTGATGTGCCACATGCATAAATAAAATCCTATTAGGAAATAAACACTTGTTTTTTTTTTTAACAAACACTTGTACTGGGGTGTCAAACTCTACAAAAGGGGGCCAAAATTAAAACCTTTTTCAAACTAAGGACCATTTTCAGAAACTACATTAACTCAAGTTAGATCCCCAACATATTTTCTTGGTCACAGTTTCCTCAACAAGAGTTTGATTGGTCTCATTTGATGTTCTCTGTTGTGCTTTCAACATCATAATCATAATAATGTGTTAGTCTTGGCAATGCCAAGTCCCAGACTGTCTGTGTCTCCTGTGGTGTCCCTCAAGGGTCAGTTCTAGGGCCTCTGTTATTTTCCCTTTACATGCTGCCTTTGGGTCAAATTATTAATCAGTACAACATTTCTTTTCACTGTTATGCCGACGATACACAGCTTTACATCAGGACTGGAGCATCATCATCACCATTGTCATCTTCACTCGCTGCCCTCTCTACCTGCCTGGAGGAGATAAGGGCATGGATGAATCAGAACTTTCTTCAGTTAAACTGCTCCAAAACAGAGGCCATACTGATTGTCACCCCTCACCAGGTTCAAACATCAACTATAATGACTACTTCCTTTTCAGGACAAGACATCCTCCTCTCCACCTCTGTTACAAATCTTGGAGTAAGAATGAACTCGCATCCTACATTTGAAAATCACATTAAACATCTGTTTAAAACCTGTTTCTTCCATCTCCGTAATATCTCCATTCTCCCATCTCTCATTTTGCTGATGCAGAGAAACTCGTCCATGCTTTTGTCTCCTCCAGGCTCGACTACTGCAACTCCCTGTTAACTGGAATCTCTGGCAAAAACCTTCAGAAGCTTCAATATATTCAAAACAGTGCAGCCAGGATTTTATTGAGAGCTCATAAATTTGAACATATTACACCCATTCTCCATAACCTCCACTGGCTTCCTGTCACCTACAGACTTCAGTATGAAATTGCTCTCATCACCATCAGTGTTTAAACTGAACTTCACCAGATTATCTGAAGGACCTTCTTGTTTCATCCACCCGGTCCCTACAATCACAGAACAGTCATCTCCTCCACCTTCCACAAGCTAAATTAAGGACCATGGGAGATCGGGCATTCTGTGTGGCTGCCCCCCCCCCCCCCCCCCCCCCCGGAACTCCCTCCCTGAATATCTGAGAGCTCCACAATCATTGACTGACTTTAAAAAAGGCTTAAAGACTTTTCTTTTTAAGCAAGCCTATTCTGCCTCAACATGATTGTATCACCGATTTTAGTTGATTTTATTATTGATTTTGGATTTTAGTTGCACTTTGTAGCACTTTGAGATTGTTGTTAATGAAAAGTGCATTACAAATTAAATTCATTATTATTATTATAATCAAAGATTACTGAAAAAAAAAAAAACATGAGATAGAAGTATTTTACGTTTCACATCTCATCCTGGGGGCCAGATAAGATGTCAACAAGGACCACATTTGGCCCCCGGGCCTTGAGTTTGACACATATGCAAGTTTAGAACAAAGAAGAGACAAACAGTGGTGCAGGACTCTCCTCCTTGGGTTAGGGGTCCCCTCTGAAGACACTAGACTAAATCCACGGAGTGTAGAAGCACCAGTAATTCACCAAACATTACTTTCTAAGTTTGCACTTTGCAGGAACACTGGAGCACAGAGGGAGGCTAAAGTGAAGCAGCAGACCTGAGTTTGACAGCATACGCAGTCTGAGGACAGCACTCCTTCACAGTCTTCAGGAACTGGCCGAGAGTCAGGTCTGGACCCTAGAACATCCCAATGAAAACCATGTAAACACCACGTGCACCCACAGGACGACAGCAGTGCGCTACGACAGAGGCAGACCTGTTGAAGGGGCAGGATGAGCTTGTTGAGCCTCCTTCTCTCCGGCAGGGTCATCTTAGAAGCGGTCATCTCGTACAGCAGCGCCAGCACCGAGATTTTATACGGACTCACCCAGTCTTTAATGCCGAACACGTTAGCATGGACCACCCCGTTCGTCATCATGGGATTAAAATACAGACTTTCATGCACACTCGCCATCCTCACTTGGTTTAAACTCGATGCATACAAATGTTACAAGCAGCTCGGAGTGAAAACAGACAGCTGGACACCACCGGCAGCTAGTAAGCTAACTACCATACCAAGTGTTTTTGAGGTAAAAGCAACAATACAAGAGTCTGGATCTTCCCCAGCTTGTGTCTGGAGTTTCTTACTGACAGTCTGGAGATATTCTGCTCTCTTCATCACATATTTTCCCCATATCGTCTAAATGTTGTCGTAAATTGCCTCTAAGCTTTCAAACCGCCCTCCTTCTGTCGCCTACAAAATACGTCATTCAGCAGGAGACCGTTATTTTTTTTCGTGAAAGATTATTATATATGTAACTGAAAAATCAATAATAATTAACAATATAGTCTAACTTGGATGTTAGAATGCTTTTTACCCTTCAGAAAAATTAATATGAGAAACAGGCAAGCATAACGTTTGTTTTATTCTGAAAACTACAACCGGAAGTTATAGTACACTAATTTTTCTGCTCAAATCGCAGCATCATGTTTCCAAGGGGGGACAAGTATCCGCTAATGAAAAACAAACAAGAAAACTACAAATTATGTTTCAGATATCAACAATATTTATTGTGGATAAGAATAGTGTTTATGATGTTTGCAACTGAAATTCAATTACTAAATGATTTGTCTAAAGATTAATGGTTTTTTAAATATTTTAAATGATGAAACTTGTCAATCCGAGTTGAGTCTTTGCTGCCCTCTTCTGGACATTATGAAAACTGCAAATGAAAATTTAAAGACCATCCACGAAATTTGACAAAGGGATGAAGTTTAATTCATGTAAATAATTTAACACATTTTCTTGTGGCACCTGATATCTCTGTTGATTTTTTTTCCATTTTATACATTTTATTATGATTCGTATAATTAAAATTGAACAGAACGCAGCAAGGTTTTGTCGCCCTCTACCGTTTAATAGTAAAACTGCAGCTAACATTCATGAAGTTTGCAGTTGTGCTTGCATACCTGAATATCCTGTATGGATTTTCAAAATAAATGTAAAGCTTTTTAAACTAGGAAAAAAAAGTATTTACCGTATAAAAAGGAATAAACCACTTTTTTGTCAAGATACTTTTAGGTCAGGTTTGACATGTTCATACTAAAGCAAAAATGTATGTTTGTGTCAATCATGTGATAATGAGAAAAGTGGATTTGTACATTGCCCTGTGTTGTTATTTTGTTTGGGGTTGAATTTTGAAGAGAAGTCTAGACTAAAATTAAATCTAAAAACTTGTATGTTACTGTTTACCACCAGTTATCAGTTTGTTTATGAGTCCATTTTGTGCAACCATGATTTGTAACCTAGAAAAATACAAACACTATACCATTCATCATTAAATGTTTACAAGTGAAACATATTAATAGTTAAAGTTGTCAGGATAAAATAAATAAATAAATTTAATTTAAAAAAATGAAATATGATCATCAAAAGAAACCAAAGCTGTTCTGGGAGGATTATATTTCAATTACGGTAAAAGTTTCAGAAAAAGGACATTTTAAATGAAGTATTCATTTATCTTTTTATATACAGATATTATATGGAGACAGAACATAAAATATATTAAATAGATAAAAAATCCAGGATGTTATGAAAGAATGCATATTGCCCACTGACTTATATGTTACAATGACAGGAGACAGCCAGGGCCAGATTAGCAGCCCTGGGGGCCCCTGGGCACTGAAGCTCACAGGGCCCCCCCTCTCTAACCTAACACCAATTATATATATATATATATATATAGAGATATATATATG